AAAAAAAAAAAACACCACCACCAAATATCTTAAGAGAATTGGTGAAATAAAAATTCTGTAGTCTTGGATTTGAATACAGTAAGTCAATATAAAACTCAAGATACTGTTCCGTATGTAAATGTGTGTGTGTATATACATACATGTCTACACAAATATGTATAGATATGGGTGCGCGCACACACCCTAAGTTCTGTCCAGAGAGATAAATCATAACCGAAACACTTAGGTGTTTTATTAACTGAAAAATGAGTCTTCAAGATATAAAGCATTATTAAGACTAAAGCAAGTCTCTTGTCTTATGAAAAAAGGCTTAATTTAAGAAAATGGTAATAATTCAGCCAGGTGCAATGGCTCATGCCTGTAATCCCAGCACTTTGGGAGGCCGAGGCAGGTGAATCATTTGAGGTCAGGAGTAAAAGACCAGCCTGGCCCACATGGTGAAAGCCAGTCTCTACTGAAAACACACACACACACACAAAATAGCCGGGCTGGTGGCAGGCACCTGCAATCTCAGCTACTGAGGAGAACTGCTTGAACCCAGGAAGTCAAGGTTGCAGTGAGCCGAGATTGCGCCACTGCACTGCAGTCTGGGTGAAAAGAGTGGAATTCTGAATCAAGGAAAAAAAAAATGTAACAATTCTAAACTCGCCTCTAGTAATATCCTTTAAAATGCATTAAGCGAAAACATAATACAAATGGACAAACCCGCCATTACAATGATAAATTACCGAAACAGAGAAAGCTAAACACAACTGGGAAACAGGCACAAAGTGAAAAAACAATTACAATGCTGGTCATTAAGAAGAATTATATAACTGAGTAGCTAGCATTTAAAGGAAAAGTCGTACTTGCAATGACAAGTAAAAGCCATCGTCTGGTCCTGTCAGTTCGGCCCAAATCTTAGTAGCTTCTTCCCATGACATTCCCCTCTCTACACTAATCTGTAAAAGAAATTACAAAATGTAAACTCATTTCTGTAAATGCCTCTCAAGGGAAGATGATACTTCCACATGTACAACATTTTCTGAACTTACTGTGTATAATTCTACGTGGCCAGAGGTTGAATATCCTGGGGTCAGAAACTTTTTAACATCACTTTTCCTCACCTTTTCATCTCCAGAACCAAGGTCTTGAACAAGAAAAAGAAACATATAAATGTAAAAAAGAACATTTTTATCAAGTACACACATGATGTTTAAACAATTTATCTATTCCACATGTTCCCTGGGGATGTTGGGGGGAAATGTTTCCTGCTTACCTAAGATTCCCATATCGTATCTTCCATTTTTTTTGGCATTTTGGACAACTGCAGTAAGCGTGTCCGCAAAATACTGAAATAATGAATTCTGCTGATGTACCTCCATGCCTAAAATTCTATTTAAGAATTTTCCTATGTTGTTATAATCTGTAATGACAAAAGTTAAATGATTTCATGCATTCAAATCAATAATTTAAAATTTTTTATTCATCTAGGCTTAGTTCAAGTCCCACTTTCTCTTCCAAAAGTCTTTCTTGCATTGATCTCACAGTAAGGCTATTAATCTGCCCATTTGTCTCTCTTGCAATTAGCACCACTGCAGTACATGCTCAAAAGGTTTGTCAAATTGAATTTTTGCATCTTCAGCCTTATTTACGAAAAGCATGGGGCCAGGTATGGTGGCTCACGCCTGTAATCCAAGCACTTTGGAGGTCAAGGTGGGCGGATCACCTGAGGTCGGGAGTTCAAGACCAGCCTGACGAACATGGTGAAACCCCACCTTTTAAAAAATAAATAA